TATGTGATAGATAGGGACCATTTCTGGGTCTCTTAAATTATCCTGATGGCCACTATATTTCTAACAAATAATCGTTAAAATTAATTGTTTCACATTTCTGAAGATCATTGTAGTAAGCCACCTACCACTGATGGGGTTGGTGCATCCAGCACACTTTTTGGCATACAGATTGCAGAAACAGCTCAGGCAATATGCAAACTCGTCCCGGGAGGTAAAGCGCTGTCCAGACAACTGCTTCTTGCATCCAGTACAAACAAAGCACTCCTTGTGCCAGGGCTGCTCCCGGTAAGTTACCCCTCCTGTAGTGATAGCCTGTGGGGTTTTTTCCATGAATAAAAGAGGGTCTGTGAGATCACCTTCTTACTGAGGATGACTTTAAAAAAAATAATCCAGGAATATAATTTATGATTACGGGCAAGCTCTGACCTTGAACGGGAAGTCTTGGTTTGGGATAAGTGATTATCCTTCAGTATTTCCCAATTATGCAAAATCTCATCGTTAAACAACTTATTTGTTCCCTTTTCATGTTATAATCATGCTCAAATTTGTCCTCTTTGTCCTCCTTTCACCATCCTGCTTCATTACTATGTTTTTCTCTCCTTTTTTCCTCATGATTATCTCAATGAACCACAGCCACTGGAAGCAGCAGGGGCTGTGCCTGTGGATGGGCAACATATACAAAATGTCTTGTGGTCTGCCAGTGGATTACCCTGATGGGCCATGTGCTGAGGGATGCTGACCCCTGCCTTATACCAACCTGCTTCACTATCTTATTTTTCTCTACTCCTTTCCTTATGCTCATCTCAGTGTTGGCTTCCTGTCCGTGCTTTCACATAATCCCATCCCTGGGGGTGAAATAACTCATCTCTGCAGCTGCTGCTGTCTGAAACATCCTCCTTTTATTTTTTCTCATCAACAGACCATTTAATTTCAATCTCTACTGAAAACATGTCTGTTCTCCTTTGCTTGCATCTTTTTGACCCCTGGATATTCATCACATGATGAGTTATTCAAACAATCCCACTGAAGTCACTGATACTAAACTGTGTGAGCAAGGAATTAGCCTCAAGACTTTGGGTTGCAGGAACAAGTCATTAATTTATTTTTCTCTGGTATTTTTAAATTGTAATTCGCTATAGAATGGTGATGTATGAATGATAGGAAATATGTTGTGCAAACAATTGGTCTGATCCTCAGTAACGCTTGTTACTGAGTAATGACTTTAAAAATGTTGATTTCAGAAAATATATGCAATAAACATGGCAACTCTTTCTTTTTCCCTCTTGATCTTTATAGTTGGGGTTTCCAAGAGTGCTCGGCATTAGCTTTACTCAGCTCCTATTGAAATCAATGAGAAAATATTGATTTCAGTGGGCGCCGAGTTGGATCACTGCTGAGTGTTTTCATTTGAAAATTTCAGCTGGGATTCCTTTCCAACACTAAAGATGTTGGACTAAAGATGCCCCTCCCTTGTAGGAGACATTTCATGGTAGCAAGCATTGAGCTTTGAGCATTGAGCTTGTTAATAAGGCTTTGCAGGATTGGACCCTAAAGTGCTACTGCATTTCCTAAGATAAGTTGATTTTTATCATTTTTTCATAACATCTTTATCTCATACACAGAAAAACAAAAATCCCTCCATCAGTTTGGTAGGTATTTGTAAATTTGAGATAGATAAGTTAAGAATAATACCTTCTTACACTGGACACACTGCATGGCAAACTGCTTTTCATAGCAGGGGACACAAAAGTTTTGATTGTCTTTGGGGATGAAGCTCTTCGTTCCAATTGGCTGCTGGCAACGATGGCAGATGAAGCAGGTCTCATGCCAGCTGTTGCCCTTATATTCCATCTTGCGGGTACCTGTCATGAAACCAGAGCCCCAAATGAAACTGTTCTTGCTGCAGCTATAGCAGTTTTAGCGATTGGTGCTTCAGATGCTTTTGAATTGGTTCTACTGCTAGCTAGAATCTGCGTAGTGATTAGGTGTAAAACCTATTCAGTTTTCCAGTTGGGTGCTGTTCACAGAGGAAGTTTCCAGTTCATGTGAGTTATGGTAATGAGAGAGAAGGGGCTACTACTAAAACCAGAGAGAATTCATTCATTAGGAATTCTAGTGAATGCTTCATTTTTAGCCTTACTTTTGCTCTGTTCCACACCATTTTACGTAAGTCCTACGGTTATTTCTTCACTTAATTTCTGCTCTGTGTTTGTGCCTCAGATAGAAACACAAATGGGTGAGTCTGGTGGAAAGGCCAATTATGTTAGTCCCTGACCCTCTTCCAAGAAAATGTTGGGCTAGGACATACCCATCACATCTGCTCTATTCCTTTAAAGTCTATAATAAAATCGATAACACAATCTTCTCTGATTGAAATGGTGCAGCATCTGACCCTGTGCGCATAATTGGCTGGCTGCATGCCCATTCAAACTTTCTTTGAGCTCAATAACCTTTAAACCATGCTTTTTGTTGAGAAAAGAAGGAGAAAAAACATGAAACAATCTTAATTTTTTGTCAGAAACATAAGCCCTCTCCTTGCCCTCACTGAAGCAAGCATTTCAGAGGCATATTCTTTGCCATTCCAGACAATATCACAAACACCACATTTTTGTAAGCAAACATCTTCATATTCTGATGCATATTTTTCTGTATGTCAACTACTTAGATCAGAGGTAAGCCAGATTGGGAGCAAAATTTTTGTTTTGTTAAACAAAATGCATGGATCTTATATTTACCTTTTAAAATGCTCTGTTTACAATAAGCTAATCAGGTATTAGAGGGTGGTTAAAGGACAGATTCTATCCTTTATTGGCTGGTTTCAGTGGAAGCCAAAAATATTTGTCCTAGAATCTCTCCACCTTCCTCCTCCCCCCCACCCCAATTTTAGATTATTTCCTTTAATAGCCCTGTTTTTAATTCCTTCAGGCTTCACTTACTTTTCTCTTCTTATATTTTTCTAAAATGTGCCCTGAGATATATGATAGGGCATGTTTCATTAACTACAAATTAAACAATAAAGAAATTGCTGGTTCAAGGCAGCATAGAAATATGTTAATTGAGAATTATCTTGCTTCATAACACCTCAGTGCCTCAATGTTTATCACTTTTTATTAGAGCATTATATTAATAATAAACTAATCAGATACTTAGCACTGGTGCAATTTTCAGATGAGACAAAGGAGCAACAGAATCAGTCCCTGAAGAAAAGAAATGCTGAGCGATTAATGAGAGGAATCTGGGAAGATTTGCATGCCAGGGCAACATACTCATTTTCACATATTTGGTTGGGAGGTAAGATGGATTGGGCTCTAACTGTGGTGGTGATGACAGTGAAACATAACTCATTGAGGCTACCTTGTTAATTAGATATCTGCCAGACTGAAGTCAATGGGAGTTTAGCCTGTATGAAGTCTGCATGATTAGTCTTTTAATTACTGTACAGATTGAACCTCTCTAGTCCGGCACATCTATGGTCTGGCATGAGTTTAGTTAGCTGGATGACCACTTATCATCTGGCCAAGTTTCCTGCAGTCCCATAAAAGTTTGTTTATAGCCACCAGTCCTAGCTCTCAGTAGTCTGTGCTATTATTTAGCTTTAAGTACTCCTAAATGTCTTCTAAGAGTCCAGTAAGCAGTGGATGTGTTGGCAATGCTGTTAGACAATATTGACCTCCCGTGGTCTGGCAAATTTTCTGGTTTGTCTGGTCAGGTCCTGAGGGTGCCAAACTAGAGAGGTTCAACCTGTGGAGTTTAATGTAATGTCATAAAATTGCTTTAGGAAATCTAAATAGAACATTTGGCGCAGCAAAGTAAAGACTAAGAGCAGCATCAGCAGCCATTTATAGATGTATCTAATCTCTCCTGTCTGTTTTAGGTCTTTATGAATTAATCCTCCTAGTCACTGTTGCTAATCCTAATCCTGTTGCTGCATCACGACTTGTACAGCACACTATGTAAGAGAGAAGATGAATGCTGCATGTGTAGCTCTCTACACACAATGGTCCATACAGTGTTGAGCAGCCTGATTACCAAGCGTGATGGTGGCATTGGCTGCATACATTAGTCAGGGATGTGGTAGAGGAATTTTGATTAACATATTTCCTGTCTGGGTTGTAAACTTAAATTAAATGGAGCAGGCCCAATGCTAGGAGATGACTCATTTAAAATAATGTTAATGAACATGAACACCCCTCCCCACAATTAAAATTGATACAATTAGCAATAGTTTTCGATTAATAAAACAGAAGTAACATCTCTATCCTTAAAAATGCATCTGTTGGTGATGGAGAAAGAGAGTACAAATGTGGAACCCTGAGCAATTTTGGCCATCTGCTTTTAAACATATTTGCATGATTTCTATTTATACATCTTATCTTCTATCCCAAGCCCCTGCAATTTTTATGTCACAGCCTGTCAGGCACCCACCCCAATTTTATATGGTTGACCGGAGAGTGCAAATTCAGAAAGGATTCAGCTGGAATAACATCATATCACTGAGCATTACCAGGCGTACATGTGGATTCCTGAATGTTAGGAGAAAAACTGTTTTTATTGTTTATCTGTAGCTCCAGCCTCAACCCTCTGCCCTTTTAAGCCTTTAAATTGTTATGGAATGCTGTGGCATTGTAAATGCTTGAGCATGTGTCAATGGTCTGTTACCATATGATATACACATGTTTCAGGCTATTGAGAGGCAGTTGTTTCTTGGATAGCTGAACTTGGAAGGGAAATGGTTCCCTCTCTTCAGATTCAGCACTCAAGTGCACTTTGGAGGTAGCCTGGCTGCTTTTTTCACTTTTCATTAAAAAGCTAAACAGGGAGTATTTAGTTCCCAATTTAGCTATTTAAGTAAAAAGTTAAACTTTTCAAGCACCATGCTGCTCTTCTAATGGCAGCAGCCTGGCAAGAGATTGTATAAGAGAAAGTCAAAGCTAGACAGCTGTGTAAGAGCTTTGGCTGTCCCTGCTGCATATATCATTTACAAATTGATCATGGCATGATGTTAATGCTTATCAAAAACTGAATTCAAAATAGAACTGAGACTTACTTTCTCCCTGTCTTTGTATTAACATCCATCTCATTTGTGTATAGATGTCTGGAGCTCTATTATATAAATTAGGTGATCTGGATAACTTAAAACATAGGTTATAACATCCCCAACTGGCCCATCAGCTTATGACTTAGGACATTCAGTATTATAATGAGGTTTGGTAAAAAAAAAAGTAGCTGGAGTTAGTTTTTTATATTTAATCCAGGTTGTTTTTGTTTTGTTTTTGTCTCATCCAATGTCCTGCCATTCTAGCGGCTTTGGCATTTGGACACCCTTCATCTCTCCTGCTGTCTCCCAGGGGCACACATTTTAATTTCCTGAGGACTGAAATGCTTTAGTATAACTAAACTCTTTGGGCTTTATATAGGGACATCTAGATCAAAATGAATAGCCTATGGGGATATACAGAAAGGGGACAAAATGAAATGAAGTTCAGAGACGGTCAATGACTTCGCTGGGCTTTGGGACAGGCCTTTAAAGTACTGTACAGGCAAATGAAAAAGTGGTATACCCTGACCTGGCATGATAGTCTTCTTACACTCATTGCATTTGGAAGAGTATTCATTGGAGTAGCACTCGGTACAAAGTAGATGCTCCTCTTTGGCAGCAAAAGGTTTGTCCACCAATGAGTTCTTGCACTGGAAGCAGTGGAAACAGGTTTCATGCCAGTGCCGGTCCTTGTAGGACAGATCCTGTAGAAATCCAAAACCACAGAATAAACAGAAGGAATAATTTGCATAGTTGGAAGCTTGGAGAATGTCCAAGCATATCCAAATCTGAATCACATAGCCAGGGTTGGAGGGTTGTTATTCATGCAGCTCAGAAAAATAAATGGTCCTACTTGACAATACATTGATTTGCTGTAGTTATTTAAAAGGGCCAAAGACAATTCTATCTCCTTTACAATAGGCTTTACATACAAAACAACATAACCTTTGCTTTTTGTAATGCCACAGAGAAACAAGTAGTCTCGTTTAGGTATTTCCCCTGAGAATTGAGTCATTAACAGAAATACATTTTCCAGCTCTATCTTTGCCAGTGCTGTCTTCTAGGTCATTCCTTCTTAACATAGGTCTTGGCAGAAATCACTGTTCCACATTCGTCTCTGGTATTAATTCCACTTGTTAATGGATTTACTCTAAGGATGGAACCATGGATGCCTCCATTTTTTAGGACTAGTTTTAGTTCAGTTTTATCTAGGTGCTAAATATGAGTCAAAACTGTCACAACCACTTTGCTGCTACTTACATTGCTGCTTTGCCATGGGCATCTCAAACAGATACACTGTCACATTATTTCTGTATATGACACTCTAGAACTGTCTGATACCTGGGACTGACATATCGCAGTTCCAAACAATATTTCTTCCACTAAAATATTAGTGCAGGAAATGATTTTAAAGATTGATCCTTCTAGGAGTGAATAAAAAGAAAACACCCCTCGTTCATGGTAACTCCCAAAGTCTTTGGGCATTTCAGACAAAACCCAGATCCAAGCCATTCTCATTTTTCAAAATAAACCTCAAATGAAGAAGTAATATATACACCCAAAAACCAGCAAGATGTTGCATTTTTTGCATAGGTTGAATAATCAGAATATTTGACTTATCTAACGGCATTTACCTCTAATACACGCTTCTTTCAAAAGAGATTGTCTAGACAGCCACAACTTTTTCAAAAAAGCGATTCGTTTTTTTGAAAGAGAGCACCCACCAAACTGGCCACCCTCTTTCAAAAAAGCCCTGTTTGCAGTTAAGAACACCTTTTTTTCCAAAAGAGCTCTTTTGAAAAAAGGCATTCTTCCTCATAAAATGAGGTTTGCCTCTGCCGAAAAAAACGCCATGTTCTTTCAATTTAATTTCGAAAGAATGTGATGGCAGTCCAGATGCAGGTGAAATTTTTTCGAAAAAAGGCCACTTTTTTCGAAAAAACCCTGTAGTCTAGACATAGCTTAAATGTATAGATTCTCAGAGTTTGAACTGATTCCTCTATCATGAAAAGGCAATTTTAAAAATACACTGGAAAAGCTAACCTTTAACTGTTCATGTAAAGACTCACCGATAATTTGGACAAACTTCCTTTGTATTAAATTATACTGGTGAGTAAAAGAGAGAAGAACGAACCAAGGAATGCTAACATTTATCTATCATCAATGAGACAGAACATTAACAGTGGCACAGTGAGAAAATCTTGTTTGAACACTTACCCTGCTCACCTCAACTCCCTCAAAATCTCTTTTCAATTATAATTGATGATGTTCTTGTTTTTCCAGCTATGAGGTCATACAGAGTGTAATACCCAGAGAGGTTCCTATTTCACTGTTTTCAAAGACTTATTCATAAAACTTGTTCTGTTCATGTCAGACAAAACCTTCTGAAACAAATCAGTTTCTGATCCTTAAATATCAGATTTTCTAACACAAAATGAAAAAAAATCCCACCCTATCTGGTTGAAGAGATTGCTATTTACATTTCTTTCTTGAAAGGAAGTTGAACAACTTAATCATGATCTCAAAGGAATAATATTTTTCCTGGAAAAGTACAACCTAGAGTCAACAGGGAGTTTTCCAAAATGTGAAATCTGCTTGCTGGAAAATGGAATGACTGCAGATCTATTTTCTTTATTGTTGTCTTTTGTGAAACTAGAAGCATTTTTAAACTTAGGAAACTGGAAAAAATAAGGATTTGTCGTCTTGGTGGTTGTTGTTGTTATGTTCTTCAGGGAGTTGTTTTCCTCCATAGTTTATGAAGTTGGTATCGTTAATGGCTTATTTTCCCCCTCTTTTTGTTTATTTACACCTTACCCTAAAAGTGCAAGTTACTTTTTTGGCATGTCTACACTTGCTCCTTAGTTCGAACTATGGAGGCAAATGAAGCATATTGAAATTGCTAATGAAGAACGGGATTTAAATATCCTGCACTTGATTAGCATATTGGCGGCCAGTCACCATTTTAAAACGCCAGTAGCCCGAATTAACTCACCACGTGTAGATGTGGTAGTCCGATCCAAAATCTTTCCCTCAAATTAACTGTTACTCCTCATTGCACGAGGAGTAACAGTTAATTCAAGGGAAGGGTTTTGGATCGGACTACCGCGTCTACACGCGGCGAGTTAATTTGGGCTACTGGCATTTTAAAATGGCGACCGGCCGCAAATATGCTAATCAAGCGTGGGATATTTAAATCCCACGCTTCATTAGCAACTTCGGTATGCTTCATTTGCCTCCCTAGTTCGAACTAGGGGACAAGTGTAAACATACCCTTAAAAGTTGGACATAATGAAGCTCAGGGCTATTCCAAGAGATCCCAGGGCAACCTCCCCCCACAGTGCTCCAGGTGTGGGGCCTGGGGCAACCCCCTGTTGTAGGCCCCACATCTCCCCTGCCCCCACTCCACCCCTTCCCCAAGCTCTACCTCCTTGTCCCCGCCCTTGAGCAACATGGCCCCAGGGGATTATGGGGGCCTGACACAGCAGCAGCAGGAGTCCCCCTACTCACCACGTGGGTGGCAGGAGCCGAAGCGGCCCAGCAACTTGCTCTTCCCTGCTGCACCTCCCTCCTGCCCCACTGTGCCTCGTGTCTCTGCGGCAGCAGGAAGCGGAACTCCCTGGGGTGGAGTGCTCTGCTTCCTGCCACCGCTAAGAAGTGGCATGCAAAGGGCTTTGAGAGAGCAGCACAGTGGATTGGAGCAGGCTGCTGGGCTGCTCCATTTCCTGCTGCCCATGTGGTGAGTGTGTGTATTGGGGAGGGGAGGGCAACTCCCACTGCCACCATGCCAGGCCCCTCATAATCCCTCGGGTCCCTCCCATTCATACACTGGTGGGGTGGCCACTGTGGGATCCCCAAGTGCATGGGGTCTGCGGCAGCTGCCCTAATTTGTGCTGTGGCCAGGATGACTCTGATGAAGCCTGTGCTTTTTCCTTTTCTTTCACAATAAAATGTTCCTGGTCCAGAAGCCTGGAGTCATCAAAGCTAAAGAAAGCTAAGTTAAATCTCGACGTGTAACACAGACATACTGGCTTAGAGAAATTGCTGAGCGGTGTGCACAATGGCATTGTGAAGCCATATTTTATCCTACTGCTGGACCAGTTTCCTAGGCAAACTAGAGCAGCCTCAGAACCCCTCTAGATTGTGTTGGATGCTCACAACTGCAATGAGCTGTTCCAGCAGCATGTATTGTGGATATAAAGACACTCTCTCCAGCCTCACTGCAAGGATGAGACCAGGAGGGAGTGATATAAAGCCACTATCATGGCAGTATGACACCCAAAGATTCCCCTCAGCACTAGGAGGCATCCTTAAAAGACTGGTTAAGCTGACTGCATAGCTGCTTAGTTCAACCACGGTTCGTCTAGACTACATGCCTCTGTCGCCAGAGGCATGTAGATTAGGCTACCAGGCATAGGAAAATGAAGCGGCGATTTAAGTAATCGCCGCTTCATTTAAATTTACATGGCTGCCGCGCTGAGCCGACAAACAGCTGATCAGCTGGGCCGCACTGAGCCGACAAACAGCTGGCGACAGAGGCATGCAGTCTAGACATACCCCCAGAGTGGAACAAAGCAGCTCAAGAGGAGATGAATTTCCAGGCCATCCTTCTAAATTATGGGGCTCTGAGGGCCCCCCCTTGCAGCTTCTGCCAGGGGCTTGGAGCTTCCTTCCCCACATGCAACTTCTGCTGGGGGTCTGTGATTTGGGTCTTCCCTCCTGCCTCCCCACACTGCTTCCTTTGTCCCCCACTGGCCCCTGCAATTTACCAGGACTTAAGGGCTTCCCTTGGGCCACAGCAAAGCTGCAGAGGCTGGAGGGTCCTCTCTGCCTCCAGTTTGGCAGCAGGGAGCCCTGGGTAGCCAGTTTCCGCTGGCTGACAGAAGCATGTGGGGGAGGGGACAGGGAGCAGCTGCTGGGAAAAGCTAGAGAGGAACCAGCAGAGGCTGTTAGTGCCCTCTTCAGGTATACAAGCAGATGCACGGTTGTCTAGGGGCACCCAAGAACTGGATGCCCCAATTTTTTGGGTATCCTACACAACCGTATATTTTGCGTATGCCTAGGGATGGCCCTGATGAGGAGCTGTCTCAATGTATCCATTGACCCTGATTTTTAATCCAGCCTTTAATATTGTAGGTGCAACTTTAGAGGCTGTTCTTGAAAACAAATGCCTCAGCTTGCGCAAACGGATGTACAGTTGAGATATTCTGTGAGAAATGTAAAAGGATTACCTTGCATGGATCATGAGTGTCTGAACCTTACGGGGGAGGTGGATACCTGCTCATTTGTTTATGAAACGAATGTTCGATAGCCGATGCAAAGGAAGAGTGTTCCGGACAAAGCTCAGGGATATATGTTACTGGTTAAAGCAGTGCATGGGCAGGGAGGGGGAACTGCATGCCTATGCAGAGCTTTAAAAAAAGCCCGGAGGAGAATTTACAGGGAAAATATTTAGCACTTTTCTTCTGAGTTCAAAAAAATAATTTTAGTTGGTTTGACTTGATTATTATGAACCCCCCCTAATTTAATAAACTTGCATGAATTAGAAACAGGATTGGGGGACTTCTCAGCTTGATCTTGATCTTTCCACAAAGGTCAATTCTGCATCACATAATAATATCCTCAAAGCAAACTGCTCCATGTAAAGCCTTCTTAAGTGAAGGCAAGAACATATTTTTCCTCATAATTCTTTCATAATGTACGTGTT